GACTGTGTGCATCCTGAGTGATTAAATCATACATCTTATTTTTTCTTCTCATTTTAAAACATCAAATCCAACTTTAAGAAGACTTAATTGCAATCAAACTAAGGAGAGAAAGCAGGTGCCAGTGCTCAGTCAGTGATTAAAACACACACCACCAAAGCTAAATGTACTTTAGGAAACGGCACAAACACGCTACATGAACATTGCACTATGAAATCCTCTTGTGACAACCAATATAAATTACTTTTGTTTTGTTTATAGGTAGAGCATAAGAGGTGTTTGCATGAGAGCAAATATATTCTCTTTTTGTAGTTTTCTCTATTTTTCTGTCATGTCTGGAGAACAGAGATTGTTTTTTGTTTTTAAATGTATGAATATTTCTCAGTTGGGTACAAACTAAGTGCTTGGAATAAGTTGACAAAAACATACACGTATTAACAAGCTGTTTTCTCATTAAAGAGAAGACGAGAACTGCTGGATTCATTAACACCTACATTTTGGATTCAGGGTTTATTTCTGAAACTGAACTTAAATCTCACCCAGCAAATTAACGAACAGTAGAACAGTTAATACAGGAAGAAAGGCAACTGGATTAAATAAACATATTTATAAATTGTACCCGACAGTGAAGCTAAAGGATAATTTTGGTTTATCACAACTCTGGTCTTATATATTTTTAGTTTTTTAGATCATTATCAGAGATGATAACCAACCAAGTGAGTAATTCTCAGATCTCAACATTTAAGTACAGAGTTATTATTACCCAACTTGTATTAAACCATGAATTATCCTTTCAATTGTACTTTCCATTGGCTACATCTGTGCCCACAGTGTGATCAATCATTTGGTCTGACAGTCCTTTACTGGCCTCCACGAAGCCACGCAATGATTGATATTCACGGTCTCCAGAAGAGGATTCCTGTAAAATGTTTTTGTCCCTCTCTACCCTCATGTCTCTCGTCTTGAAAAACAAGACACCTTGCCAAGTATTTTGAAAATCAACTTCCTCAAACACACAGAACTTTAGTTTCAATTCTAGCGAAGATCCCAAAGTTTCCAATGATAACAAATATGTCAGGCTGAATTTTGGTGAAATGGGTATGAAATGATGCATATGACATGTACAATATTTCTTTTTGATGGAATGGTTATGAAAAAAAGATGTATTGGCTTTGAATATTTCTCTCAGTGTAAGCATCATACAACTTCAATGAAGAGCTGGAACAAGCTGTCAGACTCAAGGAATTATTTATTTTTTAAAGATATTTTTTGGTGTTTCTGTTTTATTGGGTAGTGATAGCTTGAAGACAGATGGGAAAGGAGAGAGAGATGGGATGACACAGCAAAGGAATCGAACCCAGGCCGCTGCGGTTAGAACTCAGCCTTGATACAGCGCTCTATCAGCATCGTATTTAATTATGTGTCGCTTTAAAATGACAGCTCTTAAGCTATAATGTCTCATTTTGTTAAATTCCCGTTGCCTCGACTCCTCTCTCCTTGTGTGTCTTCCTCGCCTCATCTGCTGGCATCTCCGGTGCACAAGGGGCGAAGGAAGGAGGAGAGGAGGCGAGGAAAATAGTCAAGGACGTACAAACTGAGAAATGAGAAGAGCTCCAGGTGAGGTACTGGGGAGCCTCAAGGATTTCTAACCTTAAAGCAACCTGCGGGGGTGAAAGTGATTCCCATGTAGTTTATCGCATACTTTCAAGCTCTTTCAAAGTAAGAGGAGGTTTTAGTGACCACACAACCTTCCCTCGAGCACCACCAACAGGCCAGACTAGGGCCAGTCGTGTTCACGCAGGTTAATCCACGAGGCTCCAGTTTATAATGGAATGAAGCAACGTATGATATGTTGTAGACTTGTGGACTCGTTGTGGAGACTTTCATGTTCTCTCCCCCCACCCTCTCCCTTATCAGAGTTTTAACCAGGAATATTTGATATAGACAACCAGGAATCGTTCATTGTAACCATCCAAGCTGCCCCCCACCACTCTGACCACACCGCACACACCAAACACACACACACTCTCCTGCTTCCCCAAAAGCCACAGTCCACATTAACATCGTAATAGGAAAGTGTGTTAAAGCACAGCTTTAGCAGCGCCTGACAAGAGCGAATTGGATGTCAGAGGGATTCCTGCTCAGTTTAATTGAATCTGCCCAGCACTAAAAAAGAAAATCTGAAGTCAAAATAACCTATTAGATCCATCAGGTAATGTTTTGTTGAGTTTGACAGGTGGCACTGCTCTGCCTCCCCCACCTCCCTCTGTTATCCCTACAGGTTATAGCGCCGGTGTGTAGAGGTGGGTGGTAGCTGATGTTATCCATGATGTTTCTCTCTCTGTTTCTGTTATTCGTTAATAAATTGTGGCCTGCTGCTTCTTTTTCCCGGAGCTCACTCAGCAAATCCCTTGAGTGTAGAACTAGGCTGGAGAAGCGTGTGTCGGGGTTTTAGCGAGTTACTATAGCTAATGGATGGTGGGGGCTGATGATTTCCTCCACGTGATCTGACTGCTAAGAGCTGGCTGGTGTTCAGTGTTCTGACTTTACTTTTTCTGGCATTCCCTACTTTCTTGTCTTTAAAAAAGACATTATCGAGGAAGTGAAGGTTAAGTGTATGGTGTAATGGTATATTAATAAGCTGAAAGCATAAAAATGCATTAGTAATGTACACATTATATCGTATACCAAAGTGCTAGCTGGATGGCGAATCAATTCCAGGTCACATCTCAATGCAACACTTACGCCGAGTAAGTTATCTTCTCTCCACCACCTTCACCTCCACCTCCACCCCTCCCATTAATTTTACTCCAACACATCGTGTGGGCTAGTGATGAAAAAATGTGCTCGTCCTTTGTGCTTAGAAGGGCCAATCACATCCCCTAACGGATATTAACTTTGGGTTGTCATGGATCCCTACACTTGATCAATAGCTTTCACATGGCATTAAAGCCAAGAGCTTCAGGGGCTTGTTGTCCAGTCCCTGGCGTTTTTTTAATTCAATTCAAGACTTAAACACATTATCCAACATTCCCACTCAGTGAATAGTTTGTAAATGTGTTGTCTGCACGGTTGCCTTAAAGTTTCTTCTACAGCTTTCTTCAACAATGTTTTTTGGGGGTTTTTTTTAAACAGACATTTGATGCAAGAAACGTTAAATCGAATGTTAGGTGCATGTGCTGTTTTTATCAATCAGACACACCAGGCTTGAGTCACAGTGTGCATGTTGCACATACAATTAACAGAGGATTGCACACATACTAAGAGGAGATGTGTTAACAGAGGTTGATAATGTATTCCAATTGAATGTACTGAGGAAAATTATCTCTGGTAGAAAAGAAGGCATAGCTCAGTTGGGATTTACAAGAGCCACAAAGAGTTGTCCATCCATTGGCTATACCCGCGGGTAAACACAGCATTACTCGGGTCAACATGGGGATGGACAACCACTCAAACCTATGGGCAGGTGCATGACAGAGATTACGTCACGAATTTACTTTAGCTTGTAATGCTTTTTTTTTTTTTTTTGCTAAAAGTTCCAGCTTTTTAAACTGCTGCCGTGGTTCGACTTTAATTTGGGGCGGCTAAGACGGACACTTTGTGTGTTTCTGTGGGGTCGGGCCTGATTTTCCGATCATACCTTTGTGAATGAAACATGCATTCTAGATAAAAACTGCCTTGCTTTCCCCTAATAACTGATTATTAGATACAGATATGAAGAAATTAGGCTAAACAGAGTGAGATTATGAAATCATAATTTTACGAGCATTATTCTGAGTAATAGTAATGAGCTCTCCTTCAGAGTGTGTCTAGAGGGCAGTACCAGGAGCTGACTGCGTAATGAGCTGCTGCCTTAGTAAATCAGGCGCTGAATACACACAGATTGCGGCCACAAAAACTCAAAGAAAATCGCAGCGCACATTTGCCCGACGCCATTTTCTCAGTAAATCTGTCCCCGAGTGATTTCACACAGCCCGTCAGGAACATCGTCATTCCTTTCCTGCTCAGTTTAATCAATTCCTGATTGCAAACCAAACTGTTATCGTCATGGCAATTTTGTAGAGTGGTTATTAAAATGTCGGCTAGATAAAAAGGAGCCAAACTTGTCCCAGGAGTATAACAAAAGATACCAAAAGAAGACATATCGCAGTGAATGCAACACAAATTAATGGTTAACAACCAGACCAGTCCAGTACGGTACAGTCCACGAAACCACACATTTAGACTGAGGCAAATATCGTCTTGCAGTCCGTCCACGAGACAAGGGAAACTGTTATGTTAAGTTATATGCTTTGAGATGGAAGTTTATGTACAAAGTGTAAAATGAATGTGAAGAGATGGTTGGGGTTTGGTACAGATTTGGTGTGGATAAATTCATTAGAGAATCAAAGAAAGATACTCTACTCTTCGTGATGAACAGCCATTGAGTGCATATTTTAACGACTTATTTAGTTTTGTTGGAACTTTTTCATTCTTTTCATGAGTTTGGGCATTAAAGGGATTTTTTGATGTTTTGAAGTGGGTTTCTATAAGGTACTTATCCTTACTTAGTGTATTACCTACTGCTAGACGGCGGTTGGCAGTACCTGAGTTTGGAGAAAGTTTGGAGTTTAAGTGTACGCTATATTTAGAATATTTTCACAGCTCTATCTTGCCATCACACAGCCCTCTTCAACAGGGAACTGAACCGTAAGTGAAACTTATCCATGCTCTCTTCAAAGCAAGCCGATTCCATGAAGAAATACAGTAGATAAGTTCCCTTTCAAACTGGTGGCCTGCCGACCGCCGTCTACTGTGCAATGCACTGGCTATAGATATGTACCTGATACAACCTCACTTAAAAATACCGAACTATCGTTTTAAAGTATCATCTCTAGATGCCTATCAGCACATTTGACTGTCACACGTCCCAGCAGGGATGTGGTGGCTGATTGCTATTCCCACAGTGTAACACCGAGAACTGCCATCTATCCACACTGAGTTTCTTTTCCCTTTGCTTTCAGATTCACGAGCTGGAGAAGGAGCACCCAGAACGGTGGACCATGCAGTGATTGGAGGAGTGGTGGCCGTGGTCGTCTTTGCCATGCTCTGTCTACTCATCGTCTTGGGGCGTTACTTCGCAAGACACAAAGGTACTGGACCTGAAAATATAGCTTTATACCCAGAACTAACGCATTCACCTTTGCTTTCTAACTAAAGCTGCATTGGGACAGATTATTATATACAGCATGCATAAATGAAACTATGGACAGGAGCTGGAAATGTTTACCATCCACAGGCGGTGACAGAGTAAAACAGCAGAGCGCGAGCTCTGGACTCAATCAGCCAATAAAACGCCACCCTATCGTCACACGTTACAGCCATGTTACTGTAGTTGTAGAAATTCTTAGGTCGGTGGGTTATAAAGATACTGTTCGAGTTTGACTAACAACCACCTGGCAAATAAATCTCTTCCTCTTTATTTGGAGAACATGGGACAGGATGTACAAATGGAAAATAAATACATGAAAGCCAGGAAGATATATCACTACCTTACAAACCAAACCGTCCTTGTTCATGCTGATTAAAGGGAGTAAAATAAAATCAACAAACAGCATGACTTAAAAAATAGATACAGAAAAACTCAGTAAACTTTAGAGGCAGTTTAAAGAAAATACAGTGTTTACAGGCTACACTAAACACGAGCATATATGTTCTACTTACTTACAGGAATATTATACCAAAGATTTTCCAGAAATAGCTTTGAAATGTATTCTATTTGTTTCGTGTACAAGGACACAAATTGTCAATTTTCTTCATGTCTCTCAGCATAAAAACAATGGCAATGGAAAGTCAATTAAGATCCTTTTTTGTAGCGAAACACATGAATTAAACGCATCCATGTGACTATGCAGCAGTAAAAGTCAACTAGAGACCACTTTGCCTAATGGCATTGTGTATGGTGCGAGTTGTAAGCTTTTAAAATTGCAGTGGATGCCAGATATGAATATTCATGAAAGAGCAATAATGATAGAGAGGAGATTTTTTCTTTTGGTTGCCACACCTATGCAGAGAAATGTTGAGATGTGAGACTGGAGCCAGGGGAAGTCATTTAGGAAAAACAATACATCTATACTTTCAGGTGTTTAACTATCTCCGTCGGAAAACTTTTGATAATAATTACTCAACAAAAAATGAGGCTTCTTGAAGCGACTCATAACCATGAGAACAAATGTGGGAGTAGGGTGTATTAACTGGCAACGGGGGCGGATCACAGCATAGATAGATAGATAGGTAGATAGAAGATATGATAGATGATAATGTTCAAACTAAGGTTGCATTTCCAAAAGTCATAGGGTCGAACTCCTTAAAGTGCCAATTTTAATCCATATAAGCAAACATTTTGTACCTGTAACCAGGAGCACTAAACAAGAAGGCTGCCATCGGCATGTGAGTTTAACTCATTTACCTCACCAAATATTCACCAATCTTCTTCATCAGCAATAAATTTAACCAATTCTGCAACAAATACTGGCCAATCAGCGGCTGAGTAGTGCTGGAGAACATAAATATGGGGAACAAAAAGAAGGAAAAAAATAAATAGGATTTGGCTTTTTATCACATCCTCAAGATATCCCAGGTAACCATCCTTGTGATGCAGCACCACCTTATTTCCATCGATTCAAGCAGAACTTGTGCTTTTATTTCCACATTTTAAGTGCCCATCCTCAGTCGATCTAGAACGTCGCCTCCGTTATCAACCTCTGCTGTGATAGCATGTGAATAAATCTTTAAATAAATTCAGTTTTAAGGGGCTCGCTAGCTCCTTTTTTCCCCTCCTCTGAACTTGACAAGGTTAATTTGAAGGTGTGAACCATGCTCTTCCACACACTCGAGATCATTTTAAAACCCTGATTTTCATGTGCCAATTTGAATGAAAAGAAGTGGAAATTATGTATAATCTGAATATTACAGCTTGCTGGTGTTAGGTTTGTGTAAATGGCCACATGGAGAAGGATTTACATAATTAGGTGCTGAGGGATGTAGAGGCACATTTTAATCTTTTGTATCATCTACGCAGCAGGCTATTACCCAGTCCGTGACTCTGTCCTTCATCCCCTCCACCTCAGGTACCTACTTCACACACGAAGCCAAAGGAGCAGACGACGCAGCGGACGCGGATACAGCCATCATCAACGCAGAGGGTGGCCACACCAACTCGGACGAAAAGAAAGAGTACTACATCTAATCAAAACGGGACCCCCTCACTCTAGTGTCCTCTTTGGGACAACGAGCTGTCTTTGGGGCCGGGGCAGGGGGAGAGGGGGGTTTGACGGAGGGATTCGAGTCGGTTCAGGATCACTTTTTAGTGAGAGTCGAGAGTTTAGGGAGTAGAAGAGAGAGGGGGTTTTAAAGAAAGGCCTGGTTTTAAGCCGTTGTTTAGTCTAGTCTGCAGATGTAGATGGAATGTTTTGTGTGTAAAAAAAAAAAAAAAAAAAGGACAAAAAATGGAAGGGTTGGGGTTTTCAGTAAACTGAGAAGGGGATGGGGTTGCGGGTGGGAAGGCTGTGCCACACGTTGCCAGAATTCACTGTAGAGAGCTTCACCATTTCAACACCTCCCTAACTGCTGGTACGAATTTTATTTAGTTCAACCATTTGCAGAAAATTCTGTGCCTTGTTCTATCCATCCTTTGGATTTGTGTTGATCCTCATTTGCATAACCTTGTTGCTCTCCTTTTTCCCCCTGTTTCATCTTTCCCCACTCGTAATCATCGATGTGCTGTTGGCTTTTTTTGTATGATGGTAAAATTACACAGTCACTGTATTCATTTCCCCAAATGTGTCTGCACACACGCTTCCTCTACTGCATAACAAAAACTCTTTCCAGTATACTGTGATTTGTCTCAAGCCATTACTTCCCTCTCCTTTTTTTCCCCCGAAGTTTTGACAGCTCCAAAAATGCATGGAATGCTTTACATATCATTGTACAAAGGACATAAATGAGAAACAGGTTTGATGTACTGTATATGCTCTCCCTGCCCCCCACCCCTGAACATAACCACATTCAAAACATAATCAAAAAGAAGGCAGCAAGGGATCATGTTAAATTATTTTATTGGGCCAATTCACTTTTTAAATTCATGTTTCGCAACCTCAGTTTGTTCTTCAAAGCAGTTTTTACTACTGCCTCTTAAAAAATACCTTTCTTAGTAAAGAGAAGTAGTACATGATTTGTCTTCACGGTGGTGCCATTTCATTATTTTGATTTCTTTCTCTGTTGAGTACTATTATTTGTTTTTTTATTAGTGTGGATGGAAGCTCTGTTTTCCCACCAGCTTTTATTGAGTTGTAATGATGTGATTCAATTGATTTCCATCTGCTTTCACTCTAGAATATTTTTCTTACAAATGGGAAAGTAAGAAAATGTAAATTGTTTTAAAATTGGTTTTGCTAGGCTCTCAGTCAAGATGTCTCAGTAATAAACGGGCTGTTGAAAAAAAATATTTGCTGTTAATATTGGCCAACTAGCAGCCGAAAGATGCTGGCGTATTGTACATAACTTTACCGATAAGAGAAATGGCCTCAACCAAACGCATTCAAATTGATTTTAGGAACACATAAGCTGCACAAAACATCCTGCGTTCATGTTATCCCATAGACGCACACAAGCCAATGGAATCACAGCTGTATTGTACACTAATCCTTACTAAGAAATATTTTTTACAACTTAATAGAATTGCAATGGAGTACCTTGGTGGATTTTATTCTGTTACACTCATTGTGACTTTTGTCAATATGGAAGTAAATGTCTTCAAACTGAAATGCTCTGAAAGACAATCCAGTCTTTCCACTTTCCATCACCTTCTAATAATGTTTTTTTTCTTTAATGCAGCAGCTTGAGTGCGTAGACAATTGTTAATATTTTTGCATGTACGTACGTGCTAAAACTCATTATTTTTGCCTCTCTATCTTGCTTTATGTATCACCTGCCAAAATTGAATGAGGATATGTTTTGCTGCGCCAGCTGGGGAGCACTGAGGAGTGCCAAAAGTAATTAATTGTTAGTAACTGAACCTAATACACATGTTGTGCTCCGGGATGGTAATCCATGGGTTACATTCATGCCCTGGCTTCTTAACATGGCAATAAGGGTCTATTCATGGCATTGTTTGTCATCATTATGTGTTCACACAGCAAGCAGCTCGCCTAATGAAGCCCTTACTCTGTTATGGCAGTGTTCACCTTCAAAGTTTTGGCTCTGTGTAACATGATATTTTGTCATTTTATACATTTATTCAACACAAATGATAAACTTAACATCAACCCCAAGAGTGTCTGCAACTATTCCTAAAGTATTCATTTTTTAAGTCACCTATGCCTGCGTTTAATCACGGTAATAGAAACCCTTTTTATTGTCATATACACATACACGAAATTTGACTTCTGCATTTGACCCATCCCTGTATATAGGGAGCAGTGGGCTGCCAATGACAGGCACCCGGGGAGCCGGGGGTTCAGTGTCTTGCTCAGGGACACTACGACATGTGACACGTCCCAGTCGAGGATCGAACCGTTGACCCTGCGGTTACCAGACAACCCTCTTAAGCCAAAGCTGTTCTGAAGTATTTGTACCAGGATCAATTTGACAAATGTAAATCATAACAAATCAGTAGAGAAAAAAGAGTTAAATTATTTGCCTTGTACAGTAACATCAGTGAAATTGTACACGTTATTTAAGCGCAAAATTAATGTGTGATTAATTATGTGCAATGTTTATGCCCTGTATGTGTTGTCAAATTTGTCAATTTGTCAATTTGTGTCCTAATTTGCTTGTTTTTTAGTTGATTGATGTATTTTCTCTCACATGAGTTTTTAGCTAATACTGTGGCTTATCACCACCGTACTTCTTACTCCACCGTTAACCTCAGATTTCACTGAAGATTTCCATTTTATATACATGACGTATATCAGTGATAATAATAAAATGTACACAGTTTTGATTTATATGTAGCTAGACGCCATTGTCATAACGGTGTTGCTTGCTGTGTGGACACTCATATCCAAGATTCAATACTTTTTTGCCATGTTAACACATTTGATTGGAATTTCTCAATGTGCAGCTCAGATTGCAACACATTAACAATGTGATAGCTTTAATATATATCATAGTCATGCATGAAGACAGCATTCAGTCTTTCCATATGGAGATTGTGGTTTTGGGTTTTATTTTAAACCTAAACCCCATGCATCCTACAAATTCTGTTCCCAGACAACAAAACTGCATTGTCAATTACGTGTTTGCTCCCGGATTACGTTTGCTTTTGACGTGTCACAAATACCTTCTTAATAGTAGTGTGCGGAACTCTGTGTAGGGAAGAAGTGGGTCGACACGGGACTCTCACCCAGGAGAACCCAAAAGTAAACTTTGACTCGTTCTAATTTTAGTTCATAACTTCAAAAACGTGACAAAGACACTTACTACAAATCTATTGTTTAAAATAATGCATCCACAGAGATTTAAGAAAGATGCCTAAAAAAATGATGACTGTGTGGAAGATATCTGACGATTGGTTGCTAATTCAAATAAGGCGTGTGAGTTATTAGTGCAATGACACTGCCGTGGATAACGTTCCATAAATCTAGAAACACCACCACACATAATCACCTAATTATATAGTTAATGTAGGCCACATTTTGCAAAATGACTTCATTGCTCTACCACAAAAGAAGCATCACTTGACATGACTGCCTGTCTGAGTCTCACTCCACATGACTAAATATGATGCAGGTTGTGCAAGAACTTATCAAGTAATGAGTCGCTGTTCTCTGTTTATCTCATTAAGTAACTGCAGAACATGAGGTGAGCCACGTATAACATTTACTCTCATGTTCTCTCTTAAGTCTCCGTTTACTTCCTGAAACTCCTCCAATCCTGTGAAATCCCAGATATATCACATAGCTGTAGTGCAATGGAACGAGGGAGAGAAAGTGTGAAATCTAGTGGCTGAATGTTATCAATGTTCTCAATAGCCCCTTTCAGCCAAACCATGATGTTTTGCAAAATGTAACCAAGAATTCTTGTTGCGTTCTTTTTTCGTTTATTTAAATTTACAACGCTAACCATGTGTTTCAAACTGCGGCCATAATCCAGGAGAAGTGTTTGCCCCCTTCCTGATTTCTTATTTTTTTGCATGTTTGTCACACTTAAATGTTTCAGATCATCAAACAAATTGAAATATTAGACAAAGATAACACAAGTAAACACAAAATGCAGTTTTTAAATGAAGGTTTTTATTATTAAGGGGGAAAAAAAATCCAAACCTGTGTGAAAAAGTGATTGCCCCCCTCCCCGTTAAAACATAAATTAATAGAATCCCTTTTTATTGTCATATACATATACACGGAATTTGACCCATCCCTGTATATATGGAGCTGTGGGCTGCCAATGACAGGCACCCAGGGAGCTGGGGGTTCAGTGTCTTGCTCAGGGACACTTCGACACGTGGCACGTCCCAGTCGAGGATCGAACCGTTGACCCTGTGGCCCCTTAACTGTGGTCTATCACATCTTTGGAAAGCTGAGTTCAATTTCTCTAGCCACACCCAGGCCTGATTATTGCCACACCTGTTCTCAATCAAGAAGTCACTTAAATAGGACCTGCCTGACAAAGTGAGGTAGACCAAAAGATCCTCAAAAGCTAGACATCATGCTGCGATCCAAAGAAATTCAGGAACAAGTGAGAAACAAAGTAATTGAGATCTATCAGTCTGGAAAAGGTTACAAAGCCATTTCTAAAGCTTTGGGACTCCAGCGAACCACAGTGAGAGCCATTATCCACAAATGGCGAAAACATGGAACAGTGGTGAACCTTCCCAGGAGTGGCCGGCCGACCAAAATTACCCCAAGAGCGCAGCGACGACTCATCCAAGAGGTCACAAAAGACCTCAGAACAACATCCAAAGAACTGCAGGCCTCACTTGCCTCAATTAAGGTCAGTGTTCATGACTCCACCATAAGAAAGAGACTGGGCAAAAATGGCCTGCATGGCAGAGTTCCAAGACGAAAACCACTGCTGAGCAAAAAGAACATAAAGGCTCGTCTCAGTTTTGCCAGAAAACATCTTGATGATCCCCAAGACTTTTGGGAAAATACTCTGTGGACTGACGAGACAAAAGTTGAACTTTTTGGAAGGTGTATGTCCCATTACATCTGGCGTAAAAGTAACACGGCATTTCAGAAAAGGAACATCATACCAACAGTAAAATATGGTGGTGGTAGTGTGATGGTCTGGGGCTGTTTTGCTGCTTCAGGACCTGGAAGACTTGCTGTGGTAAATGGAACCATGAATTCTGCTGTCTACCAAAAAAATCCTGAAGGAGAATGTCCGGCCATCTGTTCGTGACCTCAAGCTGAAGCGCACTTGGGTTCTGCAGCAGGACAATGATCCAAAACACACCAGCAAGTCCACCTCTGAATGGCTTAAGAAAAACAAAATGAAGACTTTGGAGTGGCCTAGTCAAGGTCCCGACCTGAATCCGATTGAGATGCTGTGGCATGACCTTAAAAAGGCGGTTCATGCTCGAAAACCCTCCAATGTGGCTGAATTACAACAATTCTGCAAAGATGAGTGGGCCAAAATTCCTCTACAGCGCTGTAAAAGACTCATTGCCAGTTATCGCAAACGCTTGATTGCAGTTGTTGCTGCTAAGGGTGGCCCAACCAGTTATTAGGTTTAGGGGGCAATCACTTTTTCACACAGGGCCATGTAGGTTTGGATTTTTTTTTCCCCTTAATAATAAAAACCTTCATTTAAAAACTGCATTTTGTGTTTACTTGTGTTATCTTTGTCTAATATTTAAATTTGTTTGATGATCTGAAACATTTAAGTGTGACAAACATGCAAAAAAATAAGAAATCAGGAAGGGGGCAAACACTTTTTCACACAACTGTATGTTTCCTCGAAATATAATTCAGAATGCAGTTTAGTTTAACAGAAACATCATTTTGAAGGTGACAGGCTTGTCAAAAGGGAGTTGAGAAGGTTCTTGTGAGGTGCATTACGCAAATGTCCCTATCCTGAGCATAACGCGTCATTTTAAAAGTTGTTTGATAATTTTTCTGCAGTTTTAGAAGACAGTCGGAGGGCTGGGTGGGAGCTGCGAACATATCTTTTCCATATGATATAGCAGTTGTAGTCGGGGGCTACAGGAGCGATGTTGCATACAACGATGAAAGATGACGTGTCCAACGCTCTCCAACTGTCAATTCTGATTTAAAGGTTCTGTACTCACATAGGAATTACCACTAAGTTAACACTGTATGCTGATGACACTGTTTTGTGTTTGTTACGTGGATGGGTGGGGGTGGGGGTGGGGGAATGGTTCAAATTAGGTTCGATGTTTTACAGTCTGGTGTCTGATAAAACTATTAACTGACTTGTTATTGTTGCTTTATGGATCACAGGGCAGATGCCACTTCATCTGCAAGACAGAGTGTGTGATTTGTATTTTACAGTGAGCACTATTTCGCTTCAGTGACATGTGGCAGCTTCTATTTTAATCAGACTTCAAAATATGTACTTGCCAATAAAGGAATAGAACTGAGTATTGTCTTTTCCGTTGAGGCTGATGCATTAATATTTTATTTGTGCATATTAAATCTGTTGTGAGTTGGAACGGCAGGAGTGTTTCTCCAAATGTTTTACCTACTATGATTTTGCTCTCCCAAAGTTCCAATATAAAATGTACCATGAGCAAAACAACATAAAAAATAACATTCAAGTAGGTTTAAATATTCAGAAATGATGAGGATTGAAAATCAATCTCAATTTGAAATAAATAGAATGATATTTTAGGTTACTGTATGTATAATTGTATTTTCTAAATGCCCAGTAAAGTAAAAATGGTCTTACAGTGTAACTGGTGTAGTTTTCTCCACATTAAAATCTTTTGATAATGTCCTGTCTCTGGTTCATGCGTTGCTGACCGATGTGGCTGCATCTCAGGTAGAATGCAAAGTTTAGGCCCCACCAATGACATAAAAGCAAGTAACAATGCATCCTCATCGAATCAAGTGCGACTCATTATTTTAGAAGAAGGAAAATTGGTGGTATTTTGCATATGTGTTGTACATGTTTTCTGTATTTTTCTTAATATTTGGTGCACTGTAAAAGATGTGTTAAGTATTGCTTTGTGTTGACATAGATCATAAAGAGTACACTGTTAATTGGAATGAAGCAGGACCAGGAACTTGTTGTGGCTGTACTATTACTGTGGCTTTCAACGCACCACCGCCTTTGGAAGCACTTATGATTCCCGAACAGTTTTGATTG